GCGGGATCGGGGATCTACCTCCTAGTTGGAATGGGCCAATAAAGGCGGTACATGGGGGGGATTTCACGGGGTCGACGGGGAGGAAGTGGGGGTAGGAAGCGATTCATCCCTTCCATCGTCACCCGAAGTTCCTCATATCGAATGATCCGGTGGAAGCGAGGGAAGTGATCGTCGCTGCGGGGGAGAGAAGCGAGGTAGTCGCGATAGAAGGAGGAGAGGGTGTGGAGAAGCGCCGCTCGAAAGATGTCGTAGGGGCGACAGGCGGGGACTTTCCCCGTGGCGATGCAGTAAACTTCGACCACGTTGCATCGCTCCCATGCAGCACTGAACAAGAGAATATGCCAGCAGAACGTGGGGGCAGCAGGTCGAAGGGATGCGTGGGGGTGGACGGTGGCGAGTAGGCGGGTAGAGAAGAAATCGCGGAAGAGATGGGAAAGGAAGGGATGGGGAGGGAAGGTGACGGGAGTGCGGATCTGCTCGAGGGTGAGGAAGTCAAGGTGTCGGCGGGATAGCGTGCGAGGACGAAGGCCTATCGCCCGCATCGGTACGTAGGCGAACTGGGGGACGGGTGGGGCTGGAGGAGGAGGAGGATCGGCTCCGTCTCCGTCGCGCGGTACTTGAGGTGGCGGCTGCAGGGTCGCCATCTTCGGGCTTCGGCGACTCCGGGTCCCTGGTCGGGTCGTTACCGAGGCTGACCCCACTGGCGAACTCCAGTTGTCGCTTTCCGGTGGCAATTTCTTCGCGCCTTCGCGCTGCCTCCGGATCTTCCACCTCTGTACCCGTGCGCGCCGCTTCTTCCGGCAAAGCTTCCCACTCGGATCCGGTCCCTTCTTCTTCCTCTTCCTCCCCACTCAGCTCGCCCTCGCTATGTTCGCTATAGCTTCCTTCCTCCGATGTTTCCTCGCCTTCGTCCTCCTCGTCGTCGTCGTCGATCACCACTTCCTCCGCCCTCGGATAAAAGGCGTGAGGGATGATATCGTACGGCTTCAGGTACTCCTGCCACGATGGTAGCGTATCCTCGTCCCTGGGTTCCTCCAAGCACGCGGTCCACTGAAGGTACGGATCCAGCGATCGCTCGAGAATATATGGAGTAGGACTGTCGTCACTTTGCGAGAAGATGTCGGGCGAGAGATCGTCTGCTAATTGCACAATCGGCGCGATGAGCTCCTGCGCGATCAGTTGGCGGCGACCCGACCGTACCGATCCAAAGAGAAAGCCAAGAAGATCTCCCTCCATGTTAGTCCTCCAGGCCTGTATGATCAGCAGCTCTGGGTTCTCGATCCAATTGGGATGCTCGCTAGTGCCCGTCCACGTCACCTGTACTCGGGCCAGGCAGAAGGACAATTCGTAAAAAAATCCGCGCCACAGCCGCCAATGTCCAGGGTTGATAAATGGGACAGAAAGGGGTTCAAACGTGAAGGAAAGAGAGGGATGAAGATAGGATTGCCAGAAGGTGGGGAAAAGAGAGGGGAGACCGAAGATAAAGAGAGGAGCGAGAGGATCGGCATGGTCCATTGGAGACGTGGGAAGGGGACGAGGGTGGGGATCGCCACTGGCCGCTCGCGCGGAGATCGGCGGATGTCGCCGATATCTGGCGCAAAGGTCGGGATGAGGTTATGCCCAGGTCGGGCGAGAACGTGCTGCCACACGTTGAACACTTGCTTCGTCCACTCGCGCAGCGAGGCCAAGATCACGGTATGCCTTTGCGGATTGACCGAGCTGATGTCGCCGCTGAACGCTGCAATCGTGGTGACGTGGCTTGTCCTGGGAGCCGCTGCGATTACCTCCGCAAATACTATTGCATGATGACTCCCTTCGATTCAAAACGCGGCGGCGGCACAGATGCCCGTGTCGCAGAAAAATTGCGCCAAACGCCGAAGATCCGTATTGAGCCGAGGGTGACAGACTTGCGAATCTCTGAGATGTGGCCGCGTGGCTGCAACAGCTGTGCGTCAAGAGCCCGCTCCGTGATGAAACTCATGGCGAGGTGGGAGAGGAGGACGAAGGACAGGAGGGGGAGAGCGGAGAGAGAGTTAGATCGTCGTCGTTCTCCTCGCTTTCCGAGGAAGAAGGAGGAGGAAGAAGACGGAGATAGGAGGTATGCCGGACGATGGGGATAGAGCTATGGCTGGTACTAGCCTCAGGCGCAATGCGCACCATGTTGGCGCCGTTAGGTCCGAGTTCGACAACGCGAAAGCAGCCAGAAAACTTGGGAGCGAGTTTTCGGTCGCGTGCACATTTACATACCTTCACTAGGTCCCCTAATTTATATTGATGCTAGGGCCCAGCATTTCCATTCCGGGCCTCGTAGCTACGGACCTGTCTACCGTGGGTCAGTTCGGTCATCCTTTGCCTTTTTCGGGCTAGCTTCGGGACGGCCCGTTCCATTAATTCGGTGTACCTTTTGGCCTTAGCCTTGAGAGCTGCACGCGTGTCTCTACCCCCTGCTTCGGCAATTTCCGAGTTACCCCGGTAGTCGACACAGGGGAGGCTATTAGTTCGAAGTTGAAAGGGGGTAAATCCCGTGGACTCATGGGAAGTGGCCCGGTGGATCCCTACGATCTGATATACGATCTCGGGCCAAGGACGCGTGTCGTGTGCCGCTAAGTTCCTGCCAAGGGCGGTTTTGACATCATCTCGTATATTGGACCAGAACCATCAGTTCTGGTCTACAGTTGCCTCCGTGACACGTATTGCGAAATGAGCGGCCTGTTCTTCGTGAGCAGATCGGATCCAATCGGATCTCTGGAATGGATGGGGAACCGTCAACCACGAACCTGATCCGTCAGTTTTACGCTTTTCCAAATGACCGTTGATCCATCGATAGTCCCGAGATCTCTCGGTCGCCCTACGTCTATCGTATTTGGTGAGGTGGCCCAATGATAATCCCGCTAATTTCGCTAATTAAATTTTATCCGTCCAAACCTCCGCACGTGGCACATTCTACCCAATCAACAAATCCGGTCTCGAAGGGATGACAGTCGACCCCATAAACCCTTGCAATACACGTGCAAAAATAACAGAATTTATCGGGGAGGGTTGCGAAGAAAGCCGAGGAGGTGAGAGGGGGAGAATTAGTAGGAGAAGAAGGGGTTGCAGAGGCAGGCGAGGTAGTCATGATGACAGAGGAGGAGAGATGGGACTGACTTGTGGAGAGAGAAGAACAGACAAATTAGTCATCGTGCCACTTACTGCTTCGACAAAATCTCCACTTGGCCGTACCGGGGTCCAATCTCCTGTTCAGATTCGTTCCACGGAATCACCTCCTCATTCTTCGGAACTTTCTCAGGCCGGTGCAGCCGTGTCAGTCCGTCCGCATTCCTGTGTCTCTCGTGCTTCCGATGACGAATGTCAAAGTCCATGCTCTGCAGCACCGTTGCCCATCGCCCGATCATGCCCGAGTAATCCTTCGACTTCTTCAGAGTCAACAGGGGCTCATGATCAGTCACCAGGGTGAATTTTCGCCCGTACAGGTAAACACGAAAGTGACTGATTCCCCAGAGAGCCGCATAGCATTCCCCCGTTGGAGCGGCGTAGTTGCGCTTGCAGGCGGGCACCGATTTGGACGCATACTCCACCACACTCTCGAGTCCGTTTGGTCCCACCTGGGCAAGGATCGCCGAAATCGCCTCTGGTTGCCTGTCAGTGATGAGAACATAAGGACCGGAGCCGAAATGAGAGCGGCCTTGAGTTTGGAAAACGCTTGATCACACTCCGGCGTCCAGATCAACGGCTGATCCTTGCGCAACAGATTTGTGAGGGGTCCCGCAATTGCCGTGAAGCCCTTGATAAATCTTCGGTAGTACGAGGCTAGGCCCAGAAACGCGCGAACTTGCGTGATAGTCGTAGGCACCGGCGCATCCCTGACAGCTGCCACCTTTTGCGGCTCCGGTTGGAGTCCCTTGTCTGTCACCACGTGCCCTAGGAAGGAAATGGTGGTGAGGAAAAACTGACACTTCTCAAGCGTCACCTTGAAGCCCGCATCTCGTAACGCATGCAGTTCCCATTCGATGTGCTGCACGTGTCCCTCGTAGGAACTTGAATACACCAAGATGTCATCCATGTACACAATCACGCAGTAGTTGATGATACTCTGCGCCAAACGAGTCTTCCTCACGAAATTCTGAAAAGCCATGTTCATGGCCCGTTGAAAGGTTGCGGGGGTGTTGCAGATACCCATCGGACATCGAATCCACTGCCACGTACCTTCGAAAAGCACAAACGCTGTTTTCGGATGATCTTCCTCTCGGACAAGAAGATGATGGAACTCATGGCGAACATCAAACTTGCTGAAAAATCGAGCACTCCCAATCGCATCCAACAACTCATCAATCCGGGGGAGAGGGTACACATCTTTAATCGTGATATCATTCAATTTTCGGTAATCAATACAAATGCGAATCCCTCCGGCCTTTTTAGGCACGATCACTACAGGGAAAGACCATGGACCTATAGCGGGTTCGATCCGTCCATTAGCTTCAAACTCCTTAATCCGCTGAAAAGCGGCCGCTCTTTGAGCTGGCGAGTACGCTGGAAAGATCGGCTGCGTTGTAGTTTTGAGCTTCGACAGCTCCTAGCCAAGCCTCGGGATGGGTATGGTTAGGGAAGAAGGGGAAGGGGGCAGGGATGCTAACGATCAACCTAGTACCGTCCACCATTGGTATTCCGGGTGCAGCCGCACCAGACTGAGACCTGGTCACTGGACGATCCCGACGAGTTAGTTGAGGGCCTCTCCTACCTCTCGCCAGTTCGACTTACTATCATCAGAACCGACACGTGTCGGCTCCGATACCAACCTCACGCCCTGTGCTGTCTTTCGTTCGGAGTGTGAGACGTGCGAAAAAAGGCCCAGAAAAACAGCAACATGGGGTGTACCAAGGATTTTTGGAAATTGAGTGTGGGGACACAAACGAAACTGAAATCCCCCGTGTTGGTCCGATGAAGCAAGTCGATTGCTTTCGCGCGTCGCAGAATGCGCGCGCGGGCAAGGCGCGAAGAGAGAAAAATCCAAATTCAATCCAAAAGTATTGTCGGGCTTCCCACCGTGCCACGGCCCGTTGTTTAGAGCGGAAGGGCTTTGGTACGCTTCGCGTGTCCCGTTTCCGTATCAAATCTCGACGTCGTTCGCTGGTCAGTTATGAGTCCGACGTGGATGGTCTCAGCCGCGTGGCTCTTTCCTTATGCTCGTCTTCACTCCGTATTCGRTAGTGGAAAYCCTTCGCTTCGTAGTGATCGAAGCGCTGGCACTCCGTMCAYAGGGTTYGAGGCCAATGGGGCTCTACTGCCGTCCACGGGATGACGATCAACTCGTTAAATGGCAACAATATCGAGTAGGGTGGAAAGTGCGTATCGATAATGACAAACCCARCATCTAYGAACCYTGAACAACGGTTSGCCGGAGGGAAGTAATATTGCCCGCCGATTTGTGCRACGGCTTCTCGTACGTCCCACTCGCATACACGTGTCCTTTCCTCGYTGTAGGGAAAAGGTYGTGTTRAGAGRGGAAATACRGGAGGCTGGCGCYCGATCGAAGGGTGCTCGTCAGTCCACATATCAATCAACCGCAAATATCTCGAAACGTTATCAGGAAACACTCACGCATCCTCCAATCAATCCTTTTTGACACAAGAGAGAGAGAGAGAGAGAGAGAGAGAGAGAGAGAGAGAAAACACGCATCCGCTTGATCATGCATATGGCTAAGGGACCGACCCGCGACTCAGTTTTAGTGAGCCAACACAAAGTGGTCCCCGGCGCCTTGTTTCTCAAGGCCTCTCGGTGGCTTAGCTGCTGATGTCGTGCAGTATAATGCAGATGGCATGTGCAGTGCATCCGAAACTACAGATCTAAACACTCTTGCATTCTCGAACGAGATCCCGACGACAATCGTCTAATCAAGAAGAGTCACATGTCTCCATACATACATTCACTGTGGAAGGTGCGAAAATGAGACATGCACAGGGAAAGATGGATCGCATTGCACAGTACACACGCATCCACCGTTCACATGACAAGAAGACGGGGTCCTTGCATAGGAGGATTGTCCAGGAAACTAATGGAAGAGTTCCGGAAGAAGTTCTTTCGCACAAGGAGGACACATAGATTCATTCCTATCAAAGAGAAGAGAGAGAGAGACAAACGTCGAGACACATCATTATTCCAAAGTAGAGAAGAGAGGGGGGAGATTAGGGAGGAGAGTCGAGATAGGGGATGATCAAATCTGGAAGAGAGACATTCGGCGTAGCCGCCGCATACTCACGCCAAAGACAAAGATCCGCAACAACAAAGGCGCATTCGCCGTTAATTCCAATATCTGTCTCTTATACACATCTAGATGTGTATAAGAGACAGGCATTATTGCCAAGTAGAGAAGAGAGGGGGGAGATGAGGGAGGAGAGTCGAGATAGGGGATGATCAAATCTGGAAGAGAGACATTCGGCATAGCCGCCGCATACTCACGCCAAAGACAAAGATCCGCAACAACAAAGGCGCATTCGCCGTTAATTCCAATATGGCCCCGGGCCAATCATTCACTCAACTCTAATCATCGATCCTCACACCCACACCGACGATCCCGGTCGTCACGTGCTAACTCCCACCGTTGCGATCGTCACCCCGCTGTCGTGAACTCGACACGGTTCGCTCGGATCCCACAGTCCGTCGTGGCGATCAAGTGTGCAACCGGCCAGCCTATCGTCAGCCCGACAGGACTTTCCGACTCGCATCAACCCACTCTGCCTAGCCACTGCTTCCCGGAAGCTGGCTTAGGAGTCGAGAACGTAAGAGAGCTTTGCAGACGCGCTTGCGGGTTTTATAGTTGCGACAAGGGAGATAGAAGGGGGAGAAAGCGAAGGGAAAGCTGAGGGGTGAAAGGAGAAGCAGGAGGAGAAGACTTTGAGAAGAGTGCTCTGCGAGCGTCATGTTGATCCCTCGGAACTCGAAGTTCAACCAATCAGATTCGTCGCGCAATAGGAGGGTCCTATTGATCCACGAACCCGATTGGCGAGCGGGAGTTATCGATGGATCGACCGGGCGTCGTGCGCCAGACACAGAGGGTGAGAAGAGAAAAGGCGCGAGACGTAGCGCAAGACGGGTCCAAGATTCAGACGATCAAGAAGGGAAATGGGCGCGCAAAAAGCAAGGCGGGAGGGAGAGAGGGAGAAAAGGAAAACAATTACGGGGAGAGAGAAAAAGGAGGGAGAAGGGAAAGGAGGCGCGGGAGGGAGCGATCCGGGGGACAGAGAGGAGAAAGCTTGCATACGCGGCGTCGTCAACAAAAAAAGAGAAAAACGCACCGAAAGAGTTACAACTTGCTTCTATCCTAATTCAAAATTGAAATCACCATATCCGCGCGCGAAAAAGCGATGCGGGAAAAGAAAATCCTACGCCTATTCGTATTCACGCAAAATTCCGAGAGTTTTCCCCGACGCGACCAAGAACATTCACACATACGAAAAGGACACGTCGATGTTCCGCTTATCCCGGAATTCCCAACTGTCGGGCCCAATTCCTCGTGCGCTCGCTAAGGCGCACGTAAATTCCCATGTATTTCCCGACTTGCAAAAAGGAAAAACAGAACCCGAAAATCGGAAAAAGCTTCCAAAAAAAAAAGGAAATGCGACATTCGAAAAGAAGAAAACGAAATGGGTTTTTAACAGGGGTACGATAGATAGCATGGGTTCGGGAAGTAACTCGTCACAGGGGTGAGCATGG